GTGGATCATACCATAGCCTGTCCTGTGTCAGACAGTGAACACAATTTCTACCAACTCTTGTGCTTGATGCTGTATGCCCTCATTTGATAAAACTTTTATTAGTATACATCACTGAACAGATGACTTCCTTCATTTATACAATATGAGAAGTTCAGCAACATGATGCCCAGTGACATAAGGATGGACTCTGTTTCACTGAAGTTACACTGCTGATGCATTGCTTTTTGAGAACTCCTCTCCTAGAGGTTTTCTGGTAAATGTTTAACTGGCTCTGAGAGAGAGGGGGAAAAGCCCTGATTTGTATTATTGGTCAATTTCCATGGTATAAATGCTCCCATCATGACAAATTTCAAGCTACCAATGTGATGTCACTGAATATAGTACAGAGCTGGGCAGAGGTGCTTAGAATCAGTTCTCACGAGCCCTTACAAGCAGGCCATGGCACACCACCTGCATGTGACTATTTTATGTTTTCTGCCCAGTGTGTATATAAGAATGAAAGATTTTTTAAATTATCAAATAATTCTTTGTTCTGAAAATACCAATACAGTGGACTTTTTGGTTATACAAAGGGAAAGGAAAGATTTTATTCTGGAATGAAGATTTTGAGATAGTGTGGCTCCAAGACACTGAACCAACCTCTGGATAATGTAAAATGTTACAGGTCTCCAGATTGTTCTTTTAAAAAAGCATTCCTTTCTAAATTAGCATTCAGACCACACAGTCCTTAAAAATGATCTCCTGTTCTTATTAGATAAGGAAATGAGAAGAGGAGACCAGATGAATGCAGAAAGGCTCTAAGGGCAAGTCTTTGCCTCACATTGAAAAAGAACTACCAGGTTGACTGAATTGGGGTTGCAGAACCCAGTCTGAACCATCCATCTAAAGACTCTACTGGGTGTTATTACATATTGAATAACTTAGATTTCAGGAAATGCAAGGATAGGGAATTTCAGGGTTCTGGAGGATTGTCCTGGTAGGGCCTTTATGGTAAACCCAGAGGGAGCAGACATTATGAGTCTCAACTACCCTATTAGGGGACAGAGGGACTCCAGAGTCTACACTCTTCACCTTGACACAGTGATGTACTACACAATTTATCCCCATATAAAAAGCTTTCTCTATTAAACAGAATACATAGAATAGTGGTTCAGAGTCAAATGCTGGAGCTGGATAGGTCTAGGTTTGAATTTTCATTTTGCCACATATTAGCTTCGAGAGACCTTAGGCATATTATTTAACTTCTCTGAACCTCAGTTTCCTCAACTGAGGAAAAAAATGAATATAATTGTATCTATCTCCTAGAATTATTTTGAGGATAAATTAGATAATACATATGAAGTACTTAGCCTTGATTATGTGCTCAAAAATTAGTAATAATGACAACAATAAATATCTCTTCAGACCCACTTTAGGAAGCTGGATGCCTGATGTTCAATAGACCTGTATGTCATCTCGGCATGAATCTTTTCTAAATCTCACCCCAGATTTACAACTGTTTCCAGGTAAGTGCAGAGCCATAACTGTCTGTGTCTAGGTAGGAGATATACAGGAAACAAAATTTGAAGTCTGCAGTTAGACAAGATGGCTTGAGTCAGTGGGTTGTGTTGATTTGTAAGGTTCATCCAAGAGCCGATGTTTAATTTCAAGAGATGATGTCAGTTATTTTGGGGGATGATGCTGAAATGGGTCTTTATCAGAATCTTCTAGACTTCTATTTGAAGTCGTGCCATCATTTGTACCATGGCTTCTGTGGTCAGTAAGGTGATCTCAGGCTGTCAGCAAACACCGACGGGACCCTCCTGCCTCAGAACAGGAAGTCATCTAAATCTGACACAGTCTTTCTTCTCTGTGTTCCTGGTCTCAGACTCTTTATTAAGCACTTAGTTAAAGCTGGTGACACCAGAATATAAACCTTATTTTAATTAAACCATTCCCCAGGGTTCTCTTAGTGCTCTGCACTGACAGAAGTAGCATCCATGAAGAGGAAGCTGAGGATGAACTCTTTGTGAGAAGTCTCCATTTTATACTGATTTTCACTGGACACAAGATGGACTGTTTGCAGTAGGACTGTCGGGGATAACAGGCGCTGGATTTTGTGCAAAGATTTTTATCTCTGGTGTTTCTGGCACTGATTACGGTTTCAGGCAAACAGAGGCACTGAGGACCTAGCAACAATCACTACGGAGCTTCCTGGTTGCCAGCAACAGTAAATACCACAGAGACACAAGGACACAAGCTTTCACACATGGACAATGAAACCTAGAGCCTGGTTTCCTATTTCAGATACAACAGAGTCCTCCAGGTACAGCACAACAGTTCCTTCTTTCCCCCTTTATATTAGATTTTTAAAATTTTGTACAGAAACACATATTGCCCAGGAGCCTGTATGACCATCTTGCTTCTAAATTTGTCCAAGAACACTTATATTCTAACCTCCCTCTTAGTACTGTCCCTTTTTACTATTTTCAGGAGAAATGGAAGGAGATAGTGTATATCTGACTTTAGAATTTGAAATAATGTATGACTTTAATGTGTTTGTAACCGCCAGTCTTCTGTAGGAGTTACAATTGATTTCTACCCTTCTGAAAATATTTAGGAATACTAGCTGAAAGATCTTTTTCTCCAAGTTTATTCCCTAATTTGTTTTTAGAGAAGGTAGAAGCATACAGAATATGAGATAGAGCACTGGAAATTTAAGGTTTTTCCATGACTCATTCAAGGAAATTGCGTAATAGCCTTGCTCTGCCAACCTCATGTACTCTTCTTCTCAAATACCTTCCTATTTTCCTTATTCTATTCCTCCACTCATCTCTTTTTCTATCCTTTGGATATGGCATTAACTTTTTTCTCTTTTCTCTAAGCCTTTGAAACTCTCTAGGGTATAGTCATGTGTCTGCAAGGTGGTAGGGGAAACTGAAGTACCCCCAAGCTGGCTAGTCTGTTTCCTAGCAACTGTAAGATACGTTGCTTAGTAACGAGAGGAGAGTGAAGTCACTCTTACATATCTAAAACTATCGAAAT